AGATGTTGCAAGCATATGGAATAGGTGGTAAGTTACTAAATGCTGTAAAGAGTTTTTATGAGGATAGTGAGGCTCAGGATAGGGTGTGTAGATGAGAGGGGGACTACTTCCAGGTAAAAGTAGGTCTTAGACAGGGATGTGTAATGTCACCATGGTTGTTTAATATATTTATAGATGGGATTGTAAAAGAAGTAAATGCTAGGGTGTTCAGGAGAGGGGTGGGACTAAATTATGGGGAATCAAATACAAAATGGGAAGTGACAGTTACTTTTTGCTGATGATACTGTGCTTATGAGTGAGTGGACAAATTTGGGAGTGTGTGTAAAGGTAGAAAGTTGAAAGTGAACATAGAAAAGAGTAAGGTGATTAGGGTATCAAATTATTTAGATAAAAATTGGATATCAAATTGGGGAGGAGTATGGAAGAAGTGAATGTTTTCAGATATATGGGAATTGACGTATCAGCAGATGATTTATGAAGGATGAGGTTAATCATAGAACTGATGAGGGAAAAAAGGTGAGTGGTGCATTGAGGTATATGTGGAGACAAAGAACATTATCTATGGAGGCAAAGAAAGGAATGTATGAAAGTATAGTAGTACCAACACTCTTATTGGGTGTGAAGCTTGGGTTGTAAATGCTGCAGCGAGGAGGCGGTTGGAGGCAGTGGAGATGTTCTGTCTAAGGGCAATGCGTGGTGTGAATAATATGCAGAAAATTCAAAGTGTGGAAATTAGGAGAAGGTGTGGAGTTAATAAAAGTATTAGTCAGAGGGCTGAAGAGGGGTTGTTGAGGTGGTTTAGTCATTTAGAGAGAATGGATCAAAGTAGAATGACATGGAGAGCGTATAAATCTGTAGGGGAAGGAAGGCGGGGTAGGGGTCGTCCTCGAAAGGGTTGGAGGGAGGAGTTAAAGGAGGTTTTGTGGGCGAGGGGCTTGGACTTCCAGCAAGCGTGCATGCGCGTGTTAGATAGGAGTGAATGGAGACGAATGATACTTGGGACCTGACGAGCTGTTGGAGTGTGAGCAGGGTAATATTTAGTGAAGGGATTCAGGGAAACCGGTTATTTTATATAGCCGGACTTGAGTCCTGGAAATGGGAAGTACAATGCCTGCACTTTAAAGGAGGGGTTTGGGATATTGGCAGTTTGGAAGGATATGTTGTGTATCTTTATACGTATATACTTCTAAACTGTTGTATTCTGAGCACCTCTGCAAAAACAGTGATTATGTGTGAGTGAGGTGACAGTGTTGAATGATAAAAAGTATTTCTTTTTGGGGATTTTCTTTCTTTTTGGGTCACCCTGCCTCGGTGGGAGACGGCCAACTTGTTTATATATATATATATTATATTATATATATATATTTTAATATATATTATATTATATATATATATTTTATATATTTTTAATGTCGTGCCAAATAGGTAAACCATGCGATTTTGGCTAAAATTTAAAAAACGCTCTTCTTCCCAATTGTGACCCTTGTTGCTGTGTCCCATTCTCTGGAACATCTTGTCTCTGTCCACCTTGTCAACTCTTCTCAGTATTTTATATGTCGTTATCATATCCCCCGTATCTCTCCTGTCCTCCAGTGTCGTCAGGTCCCCTTAGCTCCAAGACTAGTCTTGTTGTAAACCTTTGCATTTTCTCTAATTTCCTTACGTGCTTGGATAGGTTTGAGTTCCAAACTGGTGCTGCATACTCCAATATAAGCCTGACATACACGGTGTACAGGGTCCTGAACGATTCCTTATTGAGATGTCAGAATGCAATTCTTAGGTTTGCTAGGCGCCCATGTACTGCAGCAGTTATTTGATTGATGTGCGCCTCAGGAGATTTACCCAGTCTTATACTCACCCCAAGATCCTTTTCTTTGAGTGAGGTTTGTAGTCTCTGGCCCCCTAGACTGTACTCCGTCTGCAGTTTTCTTTGCCCTTCCCCAATCTCCATGACTTTCCCTAATCCATTGCAGTGCCTTCCCTGTTATACATGCCTGGTCCTCCAGCTAATTCACTAATCTCTAGTGTGGAACTTTGTCAAAAGCCTTCTTACAGTCCAAGAAAATGCAATCTACCCACCCCTCTCTCTTGTTCTGCTGTTGTCACTCTGTCATAGAACTCCAGTAGGTTTGTGACACAGGATTTCCCGTCCCTGAAACCATGCTGGTAGTCTTTGAAAAGCTCATTTCTTTCTAGGTGTTCCACCACTCTTCTCCTGATAATCTTCTCCATGACTTTACATACTATACATGACAGTGACATTTGTCTGTAGTCTAATGTTCCGTGTTTGTCTCCTTTTTTAAAGATTGAGACTACATTTGCTGCCTTCCATACCTCAGGTAGTCGCTGGATTTCGATAGATGTGTTGAAGATTGTTGTTATTGGCACACATAACACCTCTGCTCCCTCTCCCAGGACCCAAGGAGAAATGTTATCTGGTCCCATCGCCTTTGAGGTACCTAGCTCGCTTAGCAACCTCTTCACTTCTTCCTCAGTTGTATGTATTGTGTCCAACATTTGATGGTGTACCCCACCTCTGTCTTTCTGGAGTCCTATCTGTCGCTTCTGAACACCTCTTTCAATCTCATATTAAGTTCCTCACACACTTCTCAGTCATTTATTGTGATCTCCCCTCCTTCCTTCCTCAGCCTGACTACCTGGCCCTTGACTATTGTTTTCTTCCTGATGTGGCTGTACAACAGCTTTGGATCAGATTTGGCTTTCGCTGCTGTATCATTTTCGAATTGTCGTTGGGCCTCCCTTCTTATCTGTGCATATTCATTTCTTGCTCTATGACTGGTCTCCTTATCCTTATCCTTTGCCTTCTATGCGTATTCCATTCTCTAACACACTTAGTTTTGGCCTCTCTACACCTCTGAATGAATCGAGGGCTCATCCTGGCCTTTTCATTATTTCTGTTACCCATGGGTACAAACCTCTCCTCAGCTTCCTTGCATATTTTTGTCACATATTCCATCATTTAATTTACTGACTTCCCTGTCAGTGCCCTGTCCCACTAAACCTCATGCAGGAAATTCTTCATGCCTCTGTAATCCCCTCTCTTGTAGTTTGTCTTCATTTGTCCCGCCCTTCCTGCTTCCCTCTCCACTTGTAGCTCTACTAAGTATTCGAAGCCCAGAACCACATGGTCACTGGCCACGAGGGGTCGTTCATATGTGATGTCCTCAATATTTGAACTTCTCAAGGTAAACACTAGGTCTAATCTTGCTGGTTTATCCTCTCCTCTCTCTCTGGTAGTGTCCCTTACATGTTGGTGCATGAGGTTTTCCAGTACCACCTCCATCATCTTAGCCCTCCACGTTTCCGGGCCCCCATGTGACTCCAGGTTCTCCCAGTCAATTTCTTTGAGATTAAAGTCACAGTGTGTCAACCATCGCTCTGTTACTCTCATCACACCCTTGTCTTGGCTTCCTGCTGTTCTGTGGTGGGTTATATGTCACTGCAATTACCACCTTGAGACCGCCAGACTGAAGTGTTCCTATTATGGGGTCACTTGCTTCACCTCTGTCTCCTCTCTCCAGCTCATCAAAATTCCATTGGTTTTTGATGAGCAGTGCCACTCCTCCACCTCCCCTCTGTTCTCCCTGTCTTTCCTCAGGATCTGATATCCCGTTGGAAAGATGGCATTTGTTATCATTCGTGTGAGCTTGGTTTCGGTGAGAGCTATGATGTCCAGTGTGGCCTCTTTTATTCTTTCATGCCACTCCTCCCACTTATTCATTATTCCATCAGCACTGGTGTACCATACCTTCAGTTTCCTCTCCACCACTGTGTTTTGGGGGTTGTGGGGGTGGGGGCCTGGCAATGTGCTGTGGGATTTTTCTCATCGTGTGGGGTGGGGGCTGTAAGCATGGATTGTGGTTTGTGTTCGGATTGTTGTGTTTGGCTGTGAGGTTCTGATGGTGATTCTGTGTGTGCTTGCACTTGTTGCTCTGCAAGGCTCTGGTTGCCCATGCTGACTCTGTCGTTGTCTCTCTTCCTAGCCCCTTTTGTTTCTGTATCTTCTCCTCAGTGCTGTCATTCTGATCTTGTTCTGCCATGGTTTAGGAACACCCCTCTTGATGTTGATGATTTCTTCAGCAGTGGTTTCTCCCCTTTCAGGATTTCGTTCCACACTATTTCTGTCTTGATAATCAGTTTGACCAGCTGATTTCTTCCCTTCAAGTACCCTCTTATTCTCTGAAAATTTACTATCTCAGTCATATCCTCCTCATCTACTTCTTTGATGATGTTTTTAATCTCTTGTTTTTTCTTTCTGCCATCTTTCATTATGTGTCTTCTCTTTGCATTCCTGAAGCCAATTACCTTTCCCTCTGTGTCTCTGTGTCCCGTTTGTACATAGCCATTATCTCCCTTATTTTTCCTGCAACTCTTGGTGCCATTGCCATGCCTCTGCATGGGACCTGTCACATTCTCTACCTTCTGCCCCCCCCTCACTGACTGCTAGCCCCACTTCTAACAGCTCTCCCCACATCTTGGCCTTGCTTGGTGGATGTAGGGCCTTAGCATAAGTCTTGTCTCCTTCCTTTCCAATGGGCTCCTCATTTAATAGGGGTCTACCTGCTTCAGATGCCATGTCTCCTCTGGGCAATAACCCAGTATACTTACTTCATATTCTAGAACCCATATCCTGGCTTCTGTGGCTTTAGCTTGTGACTCTTATTTCTTTTTCTCTTCCTTCATCCTCTTCTCCATTTTGCTGAAAGCTCACCTAGTTTGCTCTCCCACTCTTATTCCATTCTTATACATTGCTCTTCCATCCATTCTTCCTAACCAGGGCCATCTTCCTCTGATCCCCTGAGCCTTCGACTTCCCCTCTGAACCACCAATTTTGTGTGTGTGTGTGTGTGTGTGCGCGCGCGCGCGCATGCGTGCATGTGTATGTGTGTGTGTGTGTGTGTGTGTGTGTGTGTGTGTGTGTGTGTGTGTATGTGTATGTGTGTGTGTATAAAATACATATAAACAAAATCAGTGTGTACCTTAAGTAGTTGTTTAACGTCATAGACATATCTGACGAACATGTTATCAGAGGTGCCCACCAGCTCGTCATTGACCAGCACCCGGGCCACTGTGTCCAGTCCCTCGAAGATGAGTGCCACACGTTCGTGCCCCAGCAACGCTGCATCACCTGCATCACAACACGACTTTTTTTAGATATATTTTTAAAGCTATATTGATAAAACTTTAAGGCAAATAATAAAAATTCATAAACTTGCGGCTGTAAGTACAAAAATATTTAAAGCGTTCTGTAAACTTTTAGAGTTGAATAATTAGCTGGAAATAAATAAAATATGTGAAGTAAATATATCTAAATATTATAAAATATATATATATATTATATAAATATATATATTTAATATTATATATATATTTATAATATATATTATATATAAAATTATATATATTTCGTGCCGAATAGGTAAAACTTGCGATTTTGGGTTAAAGAGCGACACTCTTCTTGCCGAATAAGGCAAGCGAAAGTTTGTGTATGCAACAATTTCGCAAAAAGTCATTCTGTACCTAACAAAAAAATATATTTCAATGTGTTTGTTTATTATTAAATAACTGTAAACTTATCTAAAATATATTTAGTTGAATTAGGCTAAATTAAATTGCACTTGTTATAATAAGGTTAGGTAAGTTTTCTAAGATTTTTTGGTACAAAATTATTAGTTTTTACATAAACAGAAATGGAAAAATATATCTTTACATGTATAAGAGAAAATTTCAGAAAGGACTTAATTTTAAATGAGTTCATGCTAATTGTCCAGTTTTACCTATACGTTTTTCTAACTGGCAGCTGAGTTAATTCCTTCCAATACACACACACACACACACACACACACAACACACACACACACACACACACACACACACACACCACACACACACACAGGGGGGGGAGGAGGGGTTGCTCTGCTCGTAAAAAAACGATGGAAACTCGAGAAAATGGGAGGCATAGACGAGGCAGGAGAAAGGGACTACATAGTAGGTACACTTCAGTCTGGGGAGCACAAGGTGGTCATTGCAGTGATGTATAATCCACCACAGAACTGCAGGAGGCCAAGAGTGGAATATGAAGAGAGCAAAAGAGCAATGGTGGACACACATGCTGAGGTGGCAAGAAGAGCTCACTCCAGCAGAGCAAAGTTGCTAGTAATGGGGGATTTCAGCCACAGGGAGATTGACTGGGAAAACCTGGAGCCACATGGGGGTCCCGAAACATGGAGAGCCAAGATGTTGGACGTGGTGCTGGAAAACCTCATGCACCAACATGTTAAGGACACTACCAGAGCGAAAGGGGAGGATGAACCAGCAAGACTGGACCTTGTGTTCACCCTGGGCAGTTCAGACATTGAGGACATCATATATGAGAGTCCCCTAGGAGCTAGTGACCACGTGGTTCTGTGTTTTGAATACATAGTAGAGTTGCAAGTGGAGAGAGTAACAGGAGTTAAATGGGAAAAGCCAGACTATAAAAGAGGGGACTACATAGGTTTGAGGAACTTCCTGTAGGAGGTTCCGCGGGACAGAGAACTGGCAGGAAAGCCAGTAAATGAAATGATGGAATATGTAACAACAAAATGCAAGGAGGCAGTGGAAAGGTTTATTCCCAAGGGCAACAGAAACAATGGGAAGACCAGAACGAGCCCCTGGTTTACCCGACGGTGTAAGGAGGCAAAAACAAAGTGCAATAGAGAATGGAAAAAGTACAGAAGGCAGAGAACACATGAAAATAGGGAGATTAGTCGCAGACCCAAGAACGAGTATGCACATGTAAGGAGGGAGGCCCAGCGACAGTATGAAAATAACATAGCATCGAAAGTCAAGACTGACCCGAAACTGTTGTATAGCCACATCAGGAGGAAGACAATAGTCAAAGACCAGGTGATCAGACTAAGGACAGAAGGTGGAGAACTCACAAGAAATGATCAGGAGGTATGTGAGGAGCTAAACAGGAGATTTAAGGAAGTTTTTACAGTAGAGACAGGAAGGGCTCTGGGAAGACAGCACAGAAGGGAGCATCAAGAGGGAATATACCAACAAGTGTTGGATGACATACAAACAACCGAGAGGAGGTGCAGAAGCTGCTAAGTGACCTTGATACCTCAAAGGCGATGGGACTGGACAACATCTCCCCATGGGTCCTTAGAGAAGGAGTAGAGATGCTGTGCCTGCCCCTAACTACAATCTTCAACACATCCCTTGAAACTGGGCAACTACCTGAGAAATGGAAGACAGCAAATGTAGTCCCCATATTTAAGAAAGGAAACAGAAATGAGGCACTAAACTACAGACCTGTGTCTCTGACATGTATAGTATGCAAAGTCATGGAGAAAATTATCAGGAGGAGAGTGGTGGAACACCTGGAATGGAACAAGATTATAAATGAAAACGAGCATGGGTTCATGGAAGGCAAATCCTGTGTCACAAACATGCTGGAGTTTTATGACAAGGTAACAGAAGTAAGACACGAGAGAGAGGGGTGGGTTGATTGCATTTTCCTGGACTGCAGAAAGGCCTTTGACACAGTTCCTCACAAGAGATTAGTGCATAAACTAGAGGATCAGGCGCATATAACAGGAAGGGCACTGCAATGGATCAGGGAATACCTGACAGGGAGGCAA